TAAGGTTGACCTATAAATATTCAATGGTTGTAGGGTAGAATCGGTTTTATAAATAAAATTGGCAGTAAACAACATATTGCTATAGTCTGTTTCTTTTGAAAACATGTCCAGACCTTTATGAAAAATTTTCATGTTTTTCAACAGAAAAGGGTGGCGTAAGGGGGGGGGGTAATATATCGCCATAAGTTATGGCAAAAATTAGAGCTCACTAGCGACCGATATGCTGGTAAAAAATGTGTAATATCATCTACACTGACAAATTTTTCTTTGCCACTTATGGCTATTGTTATTCATGCGCACAGAGGATCTTAATCTGAGCAAATGACCAACCGTTGAATGAACAGCAGCGTATACGCCAAATGCATGTTTACAATTTACTTCAATCATGTGGTTCAGGTCAATCAATGATCACATCAATGGAGTGTAAATTAAAAAAAAAAGAAACTATGAAACATGTCACGGACGTTTTTATTTGTTGTAAACAATCTAAAATTATGTTTAATATAAAGTACTTTGTTTTACACCAGCGCTGCAAAGGCAAGGAAAACGGAGCAGCATTTCATATGCATTTAAATGAGAGATTTAATCAAAACATAACTATATATACCAGGGATGACGTGTCTTGGCCATGGAATCCACCTGACAATATCATATTCACCGTTAGTACATAAAAGGAATTATTACTGACACAAATTGCTTTGTTGTATGACTGTGAGAAACAAAGACTTCCACCATCTATTTAACAAATGAATTCGCAGTACTGTTAAGGCTTGCTATGGTAAATCAACGGAATATAGACGTGCAAAAACGGGACTTTTTTCAAACTGAATTACTTTTCATAAAGCTGTTTAATTATCACACAACTTATGTGCTTATTGAAATAACATAGTACAACCCACTTTGTACTGAATTAAGTTTTGCCCCATCGATGGACAGTCATGTGATTAATGCGTAGTATGTGTACTAAATGGAGATCATGAACAAATTTCAATATCGCAAGGGCATACCCTAGTTAAAATTAAAAATATGTTATTAATCGTTTCTGTATACTTTGAACTTTGTGGAAACAAAGTTGCTGCTTTCAATAGAATTCGCATTTTATTAGCTAAAATTTCATGGAATAGATAGTTTTTGATGAGCCTAAATTTAACAAAAGTTACTACCCATTGGCCGCAATATTGGAGGTCGACTCGGTGAGTTTTTCTCTTTGTCTTACCAAGTTTAAGAAAATATAGCAGAAATATTTGGTGGAAAATCTTTATTAATTTTTTTTTAAAATAAAGGAGGCTTCCAAAAATTCATATACTTAAGAAAAAAAAATGATTCCTAATTCAAAGTAGCAAACATGAAAAATTAAGATTGGTTAAACAATGAAGGAATATGAACATTTGGACCTCCAGTATGGCGGCCAACAGGAAGTAACTCTTGCTAAATATATTCAGGCCAATCAAAAACTATCTATTGGGCTCATGTCAAAATATGCTTGACCTTTACCAAGTAGTTTATGTCCTCATTAAGTAACCTTTCGGAGCAGCAGCACTTTTCAAGGTAAGGAAAATATCCGTTATCTACGTATATCTAAAAAAATGGTTAAGATCTATTAGGTGTATGCCCTTACGAAAAGGCGAATTAATTTGACACCTCGGTGTTCAACATGTCAAACCTGCATACAAAAACACGATAAAATTTACTACAGTATCTCGATAATTAATGAGTAATCGTACTAAATAAAGGTTTTATATTAGTATTTATAGAATACTTGTATCTAAAATCTGTAATAAAATTTTGGTTTAATATTGAAA